GTGAAGGGCAGCAGAGCCCCAGCGCCGTCCTGCCGTCTGATTGTGTCCCAGTGCTGACAGGGGAGAGGAGGAAGGACGCAGGGAGAGGACATGGGCAACTCGTCTAAGAAGGAGGCTGCGGAAGGGGGAGAGGGTGATGAGGTGGAGGAGGAGATGAGAGGAGCGGGTGAGGAGGCGGTAGAGGAGGAGGCAGAGGAGGAGGTAGTGGTGAAGAAGAAAGATGATGATGAGCCAGACTGGGACCTGGAACTGCCGCCACGGACGGAGGATTGTATTGAATCTGAGGAACCATTCCTGGACTTGAGCTACATTAAAATGACCAACCTGCCGACTCGCATCTGCTCGTTAACATTCCTGGAGAAGCTGTTCCTATGTAATAACCGGCTGCAGACTTTGCCGAAGAGCCTGGCCCAGCTGCAAGGATTACGCCTGCTGGCGCTCGATCAGAACAAAATGGATGATATGCCAGTGGTCGTGTGTGAGCTGGTCAACCTCACCCACCTCTACCTGAGCAACAACAAGCTCATGACTTTGCCTGTGGAGATGGTCAACCTGAAGAACCTGCGCTGCCTCTGGTTGGACGGTAACTTCTTCCTGCATTTCCCCCGGCTCCTCTTGAAATTGCCCAACCTTAGCTCACTGCAGCTGGGAGACAATATGATAAGGGATCTGCCCAATAGTCTGTGCCGCATGGAAAAGCTACGGGGCCTCTGGCTCTATGGCAACCGCTTCACCAAGTTCCCGAAAGTGCTGATGCACATGGAGAACCTGGAATCACTGGACATGGACCATAATAAGATGTCCTCCTTGCCCGACCTAGACCACCTGCCTGCCCTGCACCTGTTCTCCTACGATCAAAATCCTATCAAGGTCCCCCCTAAAGTGCGTGAGGGGGTGGTGCTAGTGGGAGCGGGGGCACGTGATCTCAGGGATGCAAAGAAAAAGAAGATGAAAGCAGAGAAAGAGACTGCTGCAGTGGAAGCCATGAAACAGGCCGAAATAGAGGCCAAGATGTTCCTCAAGATAAGGCTCAAGGGGCTGCCGGTGCCATCCAGCAAGGAGCAGGAGCTGGAGCAGGAGCTGGAGCAGGAGCCGGAGCCGGAGCCGCAGCAGGAGCCGGTCATACATGGAATCCTGAAAAACTCCTCCTCTGACCGGCGGAACAATGGCGTAGCTGATAGGATGGTGGAGGGGGTGAGGCTAGATGGAGGAGAAGGGCCAATGGATTATCAGGGGGAGGGGGAGCAGGAGGAGTTACTATATGATGAGGGTGGCAGGGAATAAGCATGAGCAAGAGCTGTTAGCGAATTGGGGTTCGACTTGGCAAACAAGGCTGGAGAAGGAAGGTGAGGAACATAAGAAATTTACAAACGAGAGGAGGCCATTCGGCCCATCGAGCTCATTTGGGGAGAACTTAACTAATAGCTCAGAGTTGTTAAAATCTTATC